TCTGGGAGGCCTCTGGGGGGCCTCTTGGGCCGTCTTGGGCCGTCTTGGACTCTCTTGGGCCGTTTTGGAGGCCGTCTTGGACCATCTCGGGCGGACTTGGAGGCCATCTTGGGCCATCTTCGCGATTTTTTGAGGATGTCCCGAGCGAAACGGCCGTTTTTGGGCATTGACAGACGGATTTTCGGAAACTTGCGGGTGGCCGGCGGGACGGGCCGAAGCCCACTGGGGAGTTCTTTTAGAAAAAGAACCAAAACCAAAACCTGAAACGTCCAGCACGCCGTGCACCCCTGTGGCAAGACCACAGGGGGCGGCGGATCGAAGACGCCTACGGCGAATCACCGCCGCCCCCTGCCTTTGTGGAAGCGCCTATGTGGCCGAACGTTGAGGCCAGACCTGCCAAGCCATCGGACCATGTGTTCCCCGAATCGGTTTGGAAAGCCTTCGGGGAACACGTGGGCGTCTTGATGGTCATCGTCGCCGTCTTGGAGGCCTCTTGGGCGATCTTTCGGCGATCTTTGGGGGCTCTTGGGCCGTCTCGGGCCGTCGGAAGGCCGAAAGAAGGGAACTGCCCAAATCCATCAAAAACCTTGGGAAAATCAGTGATTTTGGCATCTTTTGGCCTTCCTGGAGGCCCTCTTGGGGGCCTCTTGGGCCCTTTTGGGCCAGCTTCGAGCCAACTTCGGCCATCTTGGTGGGTTCCTGGCACGTCTGACGCCGTCGGGAGCCGTTTTGGGGGCCTTTCTGGGCCAACGGGGGACCCTCTTGGGGCGCTCCAGGGCCGTCTTGGAGGCCATCTTGGGCGTCTTGGAGGCCATCTTGGGCGTGTTGGAGGCCTCTTGGGCCGTCTTGGGGCCCTCTAGGGGCCATCTTGGAGGCCACTTGGGCCATCAGGGGGCTCTCTTGGGGGCCTCTTGGGCGATCTTGGGGGCTTCTTGGGCCGTCTTGAGCCGTCGGAGAGCCGAAAAGGCGCAAATGCCAGAATCCTTCAAAAACCAAGGGAAAATCAATGATTTTGCCCTCTTCGGACTCTCCTGGAGGACCTCTTGGAGGCCTCTTGGGCCGTCTGGGAGGCCTCTGGGGGGCCTCTTGGGCCGTCTTGGGCCGTCTTGGACTCTCTTGGGCCGTTTTGGAGGCCGTCTTGGACCATCTCGGGCGGACTTGGAGGCCATCTTGGGCCATCTTCGCGATTTTTTGAGGATGTCCCGAGCGAAACGGCCGTTTTTGGGCACGGTGGCGGGACGGGCCGGAGCCCACTGGGGAGTTCTTTTGGAAAAAGAACCAAAACCAAAACCTGAAACATCCAGCACACCGTGCACCCCTGCAAGCAGGGGGCGGCGGATCGAAGACGCCTACGGCGAATCACCGCCGCCCCCTGCCTTTGTGGAAGCGCCTATGTGGCCGAACGTTGAGGCCAGACCTGCCAAGCCATCGGACCATGTGTTCCCCGAATCGGTTTGGAAAGCCTTCGGGGAACACGTGGGCGTCTTGATGGTCATCGTCGCCGTCTTGGAGGCCTCTTGGGCGATCTTTCGGCGATCTTTGGGGGCTCTTGGGCCGTCTCGGGCCGTCGGAAGGCCGAAAAAAGGGAAATGCCCAAATCCATCAAAAACCTTGGGAAAATCAGTGATTTTGGCATCTTTTGGCCTTCCTGGAGGCCCTCTTGGGGGCCTCTTGGGCCCTTTTGGGCCAGCTTCGAGCGAACTTCGGCCATCTTGGTGGGTTCCTGGCACGTCTGACGCCGTCGGGAGCCGTTTTGGGGGCCTTTCTGGGCCAACGGGGGACCCTCTTGGGGCGCTCCAGGGCCGTCTTGGAGGCCATCTTGGGCGTCTTGGAGGCCATCTTGGGCGTGTTGGAGGCCTCTTGGGCCCTCTTGGGGCCCTCTAGGGGCCATCTTGGAGGCCACTTGGGCCATCAGGGGGCTCTCTTGGGGGCCTCTTGGGCGATCTTGGGGGCTTCTTGGGCCGTCTTGAGCCGTCGGAGAGCCGAAAAGGCGCAAATGCCAAAATCCTTCAAAAACCAATGGAAAATCAATGATTTTGCCCTCTTCGGACTCTCCTGGAGGACCTCTTGGAGGCCTCTTGGGCCGTCTGGGAGGCCTCTGGGGGGCCTCTTGGGCCGTCTTGGGCCGTCTTGGACTCTCTTGGGCCGTTTTGGAGGCCGTCTTGGACCATCTCGGGCGGACTTGGAGGCCATCTTGGGCCATCTTCGCGATTTTTTGAGGATGTCCCGAGCGAAACGGCCGTTTTTGGGCACGGTGGCGGGACGGGCCGGAGCCCACTGGGGAGTTCTTTTGGAAAAAGAACCAAAACCAAAACCTGAAACATCCAGCACGCCGTGCACCCCTGCAAGCAGGGGGCGGCGGATCCAGTGGCCGTCGGCCTATCCCGCCACCGTGCGTGGGTGGTGGGTCAGAGGCCTCATGGATGCTGGTTGGGATCTCGTGGTTGGCTGGGACTTCTGGGGGCCTCTTGGGCGCCTCTTGGGGCTTCTTGGGGGCCTCTTGGGCCTCTTGGGGCCACTAGAGGGCCTCTTGGGGGTCTCTTGGGAGCCTCTTGGGGCTTCTTGGGGGCCTCTTCTGCGCCCCTTGGGGCCTCTTGGAGGCCTCCTCGGAGCCTCTTGGTGCGGGAGGGGTGGTACTCGAGTTCGGAACCCCCTCGGAGGCCACGATCCTTGTGAGGGGTGTCAAAAAACGCATCCGCCGGAAACTCGCACCCCCCCCCCCCCCACCCCCCCTTCCCCGGCAGAGCCACCCCGGCAACCCCCCCAGAGGCTGAGGCTCAGCCTCGAGGCTGTAGCTGAGACTCCTTGAAACTCACACGCCGGATCGGCGGATTTGTTATCCTTCACTTCCTTTTCCCTCCCTCCCGCCCTTCCCTTTCCCTCCTGGTTCAAGCTTCCTCCACCTCCTCCTCCTCCTCCTCCACCTTGTCCTCCTCCTGTCTTCCTTCTTTTCCTCTTCCTCATCCTCTTCCTCCTCCTCCTCCTTTTCCTCCTCCTGCTCCTCCCCTGCTCCCCTACCTCCTTCTCCACTTCCTCCTCCTCCTTCTCCTCCTCCTCCTCCTTCCCCTCCTCCTCCTCCACATCCTCCTCCTCCTCCTCTTCCTCCTCCTCCTCCTTGTCCATCTCCTCCTCCTCCTCCTTGTCCATCTCCTCCTCCTCCTCCTCCTCCCACTAGCGGCCGAGGCTCTACAGTACGAGGAGAGCCAGGCAGAGGGCGCCCGCGCCGCTTGACGCGCGTCCAAGCTATGGAGGAGCAGCAGCAGCAGGAGGAAGAGTAGGAGGAGGAGGAGGAGGAGAAGGAGGAGGACGAGGAGGAGGAGAGGGATGGGAGGAGGAGGAGGAGGAGGAGGAGGAGGAGGAGGAGGAGGAGGAGGAGGAGGAGGAGGAGGAGGAGGGAGGAGGAGGAGTGGGAGGAGGAGGAGAGGAGGAGGAGGAGGAGGGTGGAAGGGGAGGAGGCGGTGAACGGCCGATCGCGGGTCACGCTTCAGCCAACAAAGAGGCGCTGGAGCCACGAATCGGGGAAAGCATAGCGGCCCGAGGACAGCCCATGACCGAGAACACCACACATGTTGCAAACGTCTGGCTCAAAGGACATCAGAAAGAACAAGTCCTGGGGTACGACGTTGTGCGGTTCTTGCCGCGCTTGCTGCTTTTGAGAAGGCTCTAGGACTCTAGGCGATACACGGGAGCAGGCCCTGTCTGGCCTGCGCGCCCGTGATCTTGTTGGTGGTTGCTGCCTTCGTCAGCGGGCCTGAGATTCTGAAATGGGGCAGCTCTTCGTAATCCATGGAACGGCCTTGACCTCTGAACCGCTCGTGCAACTCTCTGTCGTGCTTGTCGAGCTGGAGTTGCTATTTCGCGGCGCATGTTCGGCCTACTGCAACACAGCATGATGACACTTAGGGCTGCCAGAACTAAGGTTGTTACTGAGACGCGTGCGTGCGTGAAAACAAGACAAACTTTCAATGCAATCACCATCTGCTATTAAAGGGCGCGCAATACTCCTGAGACCGTGCTTGGCTACACGGTGGGCCAAAAGGGCCTAAGGTGAACTGAAGGTGGTTGGGCACTGCCGGCAAGCGAGCGGGCGCGGCAAGGCGGCAAGTTTGGGGCTCATTGGCTCAGACGCGCGTGCTTTCATCATCGCCTCGGCAGCCTGGCACAGCAGCTGCGTCTATGTCTCAGGCCACTTCCTTATGAACTGGTCCCATGCTGATGAATCGTCCGTTGCAGACGGCACATCCTGAAAACACGAACATGAAGGAGCCAACCAGTCCAAGCCAATAGGCACATGAGAAATCCAGGTGCTTGTCGCTGTCGCTTGCAAGAGGGCCACGAGCTGCGGCGGTGCGTGTCGAAGTATTCGTCCAAGATGCCGTAGTCGATGTATGCGTAGAGTATCAGCATGGCTCCTCCTTGCTGCTGTTCGAAGAGTTGCATGATCATGCTGGTCGCCTTCCTGCTTGACAGACAAATTGAAGAGAAGGAGGAGGAGGAGGAGAAGGAGAAGGATGAGGAGGAGAAGGAGGAGGGGGGGAGGGGGAGGAGGAGTCGTTCCACTGTTGTCTCCTCCCCCTTTCGTTTTACTTCAGCCCGGCGGCGATGTCCCGCCAGGGAGGAAGGGGAGGGGGCGGAGCGTACCAAGGGTTTCGCTCTATTGGAGGACACATCCTGCATCTTGAAAGCTTGAAAGGAGGAGGAGGGGGAGGAGGAGGAGCAGCAGCAGCAGCAGGGAGGCGAGGGAATGCGACGACGTTCAAGGGTTTCTGGTCTTTGTTGCGGATTCCTGTAGTTGTTACCGCTTATGGGTAGCAGCGTCTCGCCGAGAGCGTTCCAGGGGCGCCCGAATCGTCTCGAAATGGCCGCCAGAGATCCGAGTTGTGACCAGGAAACAATACCCAGAGCAGGAGGTGGAAGAGGAGGAAAAAGAGGAGGGGGAGGACACGGAGAAGGGCGGGCGGGAGAGGGGGGGGGACAGAACGAGGAAGACGAGGATGGTGATGTGTTTGGCAGTCTGCGCCACAGGCCTGTATTGTTGCGTATCACTGTGTGATGCTCGCGTCTGTGCCTTTGCACATTCGTTGTAAATGTTGCATTGTTTGCTCCCGCGACCGTTCTGGATTTCGGGGGGTCTCCCAGATGCTTGGGGCGCCAGGGCAGACCCCATGCTACCTAGTCCTCTTTTCTTTCGCCCGAAATGGAGGACAGTGGGAGCCTGTGGTTCTCCCATTGGTAGCCGAGCGTAGTGCTCCAGCGCCCTAGGAGAGGCGCGCAACACATCCCTGCTGGGAGGCGCGGGCAGACGGCAGACCAATTTCGATGCGAAGGGGCTTCGGTATATCCATGGAGACCTTAACCAGGGTAGCCATCAGGAGTTGAGGAAGCGGACCTAGCGGACCAAGTCAGCCGTGGCCTACCAGAAGCTGGAGGTGAACCGACGTGGACCTTCGATATACACCATCCTGCAGGGCTCGGCTCTGGAGATCGTAGAACACCTGGAGTTTGAAGAATACGACTGCGAAGACGGTGGCGACAAGCTCGTCGAGCTGCCTGTCAGACGATGGCAGTCAAGGAGCAGGAGGACATTCTCGATGAACACCTCGAGGTAGTGCTTGACCTGAATAGACACGAGGGTGAAACCGTGGCAGCCTGGCTTGGCATGGCAAAGGTGGTGTTCCAAAAATGTTCGGCCAAGGGAAACGTGCACTTCCCCACGGAGGCCCAGGCGCGAATCCTGCTACATCGCTGCGGGTTCACACCAGACCAGCTTGCGACCGTGAAGGCGAAGGCGGCAGAGTATATGGCCGAGGCGATGGAAGTGGCTATCCCGGCAATTTTCCGACGCACACGATTCCGCAGCTACGGCGCGCTGAGGCTGGCGCGCTGGTGGCCGACCAGGCCGACGAGGCAGATGAGGAGTGGCAGTCCGAGATTGGAGAGCGTTCTACATGGCTGGGCCGCCCAAGAGGACGCCATCGCGGACATCGAGACCCTTTCCTCGCCGGGAACGAGGACAGCACCGAGACCGTCAGCCCAGAGGAGTCTTTCGAGGATATGGACGTCGTCGAAGTGTTGGCGGCTACGTGGAAGGAGAAACGACGGGATATCAATGACTCACAGAAGGCCGGGTGTTTCAGAAGCGGGCAAGCTGCATATCACCTTCCATATCGATCAGAGGGATGCCAAGGAGGACACAATCTTCCACGCTTGTAAGGAAGTGCCCCAGGAAAGGGAAAGGGCAAAGGCAAGTTCCGAGGGCGGGGACCGACCGGCGCTGGCGCGGCATTTCTGGCCCTGGAAGGCCTCGGAGCCCGCGACGCCAGCCTGGCCGCGGCCCTGCAGCAACTTCGTGAGCGGTGACAGCTGAAGTCGTCGAGCGAGGGACCTACCGAGCCAGTCGAGACCACCTTTGCTTGTCCAGTCGGGAAGGGCATCTAGGACCGAGGCTGCTGCCGCGCCCTTGCTGGCGAGAGCTCCTGCAAGAAGCTGAAGACTGTGCTGGACCTGATGGAACTGGGGCTGAATTCCTTCGAAGTGTCGATGCTGTTCAGGTTCGGCAGCAGTGGCCGGGGAGAGACCCGCCGTGCAGTCAAGATCTTGGCGGTGCGGCTGCCCGAGAGGCCACGTCACCGCCGCCATCGCGAAGAGTGATCTTCCTCTGCTACTGAGCAAGCCCCTGCTCAAGGCCCAACAAGGGCGCGTGGACTTCGCGACGAACGGCATCGCCTTGGACGCGTTAGGCACCCGCGTTTAAAGCTGCAGACACAGACCAAGGCTTAGGGTAGAGCCACGATACTATCACGGGCTATGTGAGACCCACGGACCCAACACGAGGTGTCCAATGAGCTGAAGCGTTTCTGGTCCCTGGTGCTTATGCCCTGTCCTCCGTGCGCGCGGTGCGGTGGTTGTGCGACGCTGAACGCACGTGATTTTAGCGCGACGGAAAGGATGCGCATGGCACGACACGCGCGCACATGCATGCGATATTGCATCCAGGAGATACATGTACAATTGGATCCGGGAGACGATGCCATGTTCGAACGCCCCCATTTGATCGATAGCGTGGAACATGCCTGACATGAAACAGCTCATGAAGCGGATGACCGACGTGAAGAAAGATCTGTGTGCACATGGGTCACGGGGGCCTGGGGGGTGCGCAGCATGTGCAGAAACGCGCGCGCGTGCGGGGATCTCCCCAACGACTTGCGACGTGCCTTGAGAAGAGATGCCCGGGGAAACCACGACCGCGTGACGATTGAGGGACGCCAAACGGAGTCTCGCGCAGTAAGTGGGAGGGCCGCTACACTCCAGCCTTGTCTGAAGAGCTGTCCTCCGAGGCGCCGATGACCTCGCGCAGTTTTGTGTTAACTCTTGTGGGCGCTCCTATGAGTGTCGATGAGGGGCCCGCGCCCCTGCGTTTTGAGTCGAGTTTCCGTGGCTCCGGCGTGCGCGGCAAGTTGCAGCTTTTGGCCGCAGAGCCTTCGCAGTGTTGTCTGGCTG